GCTGTGCCGCTGAGCTAAATCCCCAGCCCCTGGCCTTTAGTGTTGTAATCTGAAAAATTGAAATAGTAGCAGAACCGACCTCACAGAGTGGTTCTGCATATTTAATCTAATGCTATATGCAAAGAGTAATTTACTAAATATGTAGGCAAAAAAATATGTAGGCATTGTTATAAAGTGTGTATTAGATCATGAACTCTCATGAAGTTAGGCGGGAGACTCTAGTGTATCCTCATTTTACAGATGAGGAAACCTGACAGGAGGTGCTGGTATGGATGGTACCTGTAAGGAATGAGGGAGCTGGTCACGGTGTCACACGCCTGTAATCCCAGCACCTGGGAGGCTGAAACAAGAGGATCTCATCTTCTAGACCAGCTTGGGCAATTTAGTGAGACCTTGTCTCCAGAGAAAGTGGCAGGAGGGAGGGCGTGGGATGTAGTTCAGTGTAAAGGCCCTCGGCTCAACCTTCAATACCCCCAATAAACACGTACTAGAATGAGTGAGGAGGAGCTCCCACTTGACAGTAGGGTTCACAGGTTCGGTGATCTCCGCTGGGGGAAGCACAGAGGCAGGAGGCGGACGAAGCAGAGTGACCTGGGCCTGCACCTGCGCGGCTCCCCTAATCCGCGGCCCAGGGCTCCCTCCGGTGGCCGAAACCAAGAGCGCAGCCGGCGGGCTGCACCGGCGCGAGGGGCGGGTCCCCGGTGGGGGTGAGGAACGAAGTCGGCCCGAAGCCGGGCCGGGCAGACGTTCTAGGCGGGTTTTGGGACGCTGCAGAACTAGGGTTCCGGAAGCACTCGACCACACTGCCTGCAGTTCCTGGCAGCGCACCTGGGCCAGGTATCGGCCACGCCCACTCCGCAGTGCCTTCTGCCGTCACCACACTCCTGCTTCAAGTTGCAGCTCCTCCCGGGGGCAACTCAGAGCTGAGGGGGTCTGGCCTGCAGGTTGGGCGCCCGTTTGCACCAGGTAATGGGGTTTGTAGGGATGGGGGCTCGCGCCCAACTAGAGGCGCAGGTCTACAGGACAACAGCTCAGCCCCTGGGACACACGTGGACCCGGTTGGCGCCGGCAGGGCCGCTAGGGGCGGTGCTTATGGGACACGCCTATGGGGCGGGGCCTACGTCGCGGACCAATAGGACGTCTTGCGGTGGGGGTAGGCTCCGGGCCTGGCCTCCCGGTAGCCGGCTGTCTTTTCCGGCACCCGCGCCCCCTCCGCGCGTAGTGGTCCCCTACTTGCGCGGGGATCACCCCGAGCAGCCGCATCCTCCGGGTGGTGAGTGAGCTGCTTGGTGCGCCTGGCTTGCGAAAGGGACATCTTGCCCACCCCCTGCAACCCGCTGTGGGAGCAAGTGGGCAGGAGCCGATGGGTGGGGGGAGGAAGACCCCGGGGACCTTGTGTGGTGCTGCACAAGCCGGCCTGGGTTTCTATTTCGGGATTCGAAGGATGTGTTTGGGTTGGTAGAGTTTGCGGGGTGCTCTTCGTATGGATGGGTGGAATCTGGTAAGGCTCTGGAGAGGAGGGCGCCGGAGATGGTGGAGGGAAGGAGGGAGGTTTTGGAAGATTGGGAAGTTTTTCGTGAGTACGGTGATCGGTGATCGTGGTGGGGGACTTGCGCCGCCGGTCAGGACTGGAGGAGGGCGGTGAGGAGGGCAGCCAGCTCGTAACTTACTTCCCTTTTGAAGGATGCGTTTCCTCCTGCACCACTAGTTAAAGGGGGAGAGGCTGGAGAAATCCGGGCTGCCACGCATCTGTGTCCCTTTCCAGAGCTGTGCATCCCCAGTTTCAGGGACATGAGGGAACGGGCGGCCCTCACAGGAACGGACACAGTTCCTCACAGGCCTAGATGCTCATGCCTGGCGGTTGGGGGCCTACAACTGTGGGGCTGTGGGGCAGTGGCTGGGACCGTCTGGAGCCCATGCACCCTTTAGAGTTCCGGTCAGGGTGTGTGTGTCTTTGCAGCCCTCTTCTGGGGAGTGCTTTTGAGGATTTCATTAGGTGCTTTTGTTTTTGTACTGGGGATCAAACCCAGGGCCTTTGCACTAGACTACATCTGCAACCCTTTTGGTTTATTTTTATTTGGAGACAAGGTCTCCCCAAGTTGCTAAGCTGCCCAGGCTGGGCTTGAACTTTCAATCCTCCTGCCTCAGCCTCCCAGAGTGCTGAGATTACAGGTGTGTACTACTATGCCAGGCTTGTTACAGTTTTTTTTGGAGGGAGGTTGAGGCGGGGCGAAGAACTGCTATCCATGCAGCATAATCTCTTGCAGGCCACCTAACCCATTTGTGGCTTCCTGGCTCTGTGTTCAGCCATGGCCAGCGAGAGCTCACCTCTGCTGGCCTACCGGCTCCTGGAGGAAGAAGGGGCTGCCTTCCCTGCCAGTGGAGCTGGAGGTCCTGGAGGGGCGCCTGCCCGCAAGCTGTCCACCTTCCTGGGTGTGGTGGTGCCCACGGTCCTGTCCATGTTCAGTATAGTTGTCTTCCTGCGGATTGGTGAGTGGAGGGAGGACTTACTGGGCTGAGGAGTAGGACTGAGATGGGGCTGGGGGCACCCTGGGGGAGGTGGGGGATAGAGAGCAGGAGGAAGAGTGTGAAGCCATGGCCTGGATTCTGCTGTCCAGTGGGACAGGGGTAGGGGTGGGAGGTGGGAGTGCCCGATGACCTGGTTTGTCCCTCCCACCCAGGGTTCGTGGTGGGCCATGCTGGACTGCTTCAGGCCTTGGCCATGCTACTGGTTGCTTATATCATCCTGGCACTCACGGTCCTGTCTGTCTGTGCCATCGCCACCAATGGAGCTGTCCGAGGAGGCGGAGCCTACTGTATCCTGCACCTTGGATGGGCTGGGGTCTAGGCTGTTCCCTTTTCCAGGATGTATGGGAAAGAGGCCAATAGCCTCTATTTGCTGGGGGCAGGGCAAATTCTAATGAATGGCCAGGCTAGGGTAATAATGCTTACCAACATTAGCTGGGCATGGTGGTGCATACCTGTAATCCCAGCACTGTGGAAGGTTGAGGCAGGGAGGTCACAAGTTTAAGCCTAGGGCAATTTAGCAAGACTGTATTAAAATTTTAAAAAGATAACTGGTTATGGTGGCGCATACCTGTGATCCCAGCACTCAGGAGGCTGAAACAGGAGAATTGCCATTGAGTTCAAGGCTAGCCTGGACTGCATGGTGAGAAACCTTTTGCAAAAAACTTTAAAAAAGGGCCGGGGATATGGCTCAGTGGCACAAGTGCCTGCCTAGCAAGCGCAAGGTCCTGAGTTCTAGTCCCGGTACCCACCCTCCCCCCCAAAAAAAACCTTAAAAAAAGAAACCAGGTGTGGCACACACCTGTAGTCCCAGCACTCAGGAAAGCTGAGGCAGGAGGATTGTTGTGAGTTCAAAGCAAGCCTGGGCTATAAAGTGAGCTCAAGGCCAGTCTGAAGTGCATAGCCAGACCCTGTGTTAAAAAAAAAAAAACAAACTGAAAAAATAAGTAAATAAAATAAAAAGATGATCAATATTGCCCTATGTGTTAGTATTACTGTCTAATCTCCTTTTTGATTGGATAGTAATCATTTTACAGATGAAGAAACTGGAGTTCAGAGGGTACTAGGGACTTGTGCAAAGCCACAAGGCTGGAGTGGCTATACCTGGATATTTGCTACAGCTGGGAACTGAGCTGTCATGGCAGGACGACGGGTCTGGAGGGCAGCTGCAGAGGCAGATTCCTGCTGCAGCTCTTCCTCATGCTGCGTTTCAGTTTCTTTTCCCTTAATGCTCACTCCTGCTTCCATGTTTAGTCATGATCAGCCGGACCCTGGGGCCTGAGGTTGGGGGCAGTATCGGCCTTATGTTCTACCTGGCTAACGTCTGTGGCTGTGCCGTCTCCCTGCTGGGGCTGGTGGAGGCCGTGCTGGACGTCTTCGGGGCTGGTCTGTGTTCTCCCTACCTGGTCTACGCAATTCTACTGGTTTATGGGGTCTGGGATTGTGGATGCGGGAGAGGCACATTCTGTCCAGGAGGATGTATTCTCTTGGTTTGCAAGAGAGGTGGCCATCCCAGAGATTGTTCCTGCCCACAGAGAGCTTGTTGCCATCTACCCAGGGAGGCCAGCCTAAGAGTCCTTGAATTAACATAGCAGGATTGGTACCCACCAGGGAGCACTAAAATGCTGGGCCGAGGCTCAGCTGGGAAATGGAGAAGGTGGCTGCTCTGCCAGTAGGTGGGTGGAGAGGGATAGGCCCTGCCTTTCATCATGACTGGGGGGGTGGGTCACCTCCCTGGGGTCAAGCCTTCTGACTCTAACCCTGCCTTTCTCCAGAACCCATGGGGTCCAGTGGGCTCCGGGTCCTGCCGCAGGGTTACGGCTGGAACCTGCTCTATGGCTCCCTGCTGCTGGGCCTCGTAGGTGGCGTGTGCACATTGGGAGCTGGCCTCTATGCCCGGGCCTCCTTCCTTACATTCCTTCTGGTGTCCGGCTCCCTGGCTTCCGTGCTGATCAGCTTTGTGGCTGTGGGGCCCAGGGACATCCCTTTAGCTCCTCGGCCCGGTGCCAATGGCTCCTCTCTGCCAACCCGGTTCGGCCACTTCACTGGCTTCAACATCAGCACCCTGAAGGACAACTTGGGCGGTGAGCTGGGCTGTGCAATGCCAGGGTCCTTGGGTAAGGAGTGGGCATGGGTGCAGACTGGGCCCTTGAGTCCCTGCAGCAGAACCTGGACCACAGAGCAGTACAGTCCAATTCACATGAGTGCGGAGCATTTTGGGCTGGTGGGGAGAGGCCATGGGGCAGTCCTTGCCGTAGAGGAACCTGTGTTCAGGTGGGAGGAACCAGACGTGCGGGAAACAAGTAGCACAGTAAAGCTGAGGAAGGAGACCTGACTATGGGCTGGGCAGGCAGGAGTGGGGGCAGTTCAGATCGGAGCTGGAGGCAGGGGAGGAAAAACAGAATGGGGTGAGGGGCAAAGGGGGCAGTGCAGGGCCAGCAAAGGGGTCAGGGCTGGGTCTTGGTGAGGGCACCAGAGGGAAGACAGGGGCATTGTGAATGTGAGGACAGGGTGGCAGGGACCCAGTGCGGGCAGCCCTATAAGGATGCTGACATCCTGTCCTTCCTGGGAACAACCCTTCAGCTGGCTACGCCGAGGACTACACCACGGGGGTCATGATGACCTTTGCCAGTGTCTTTGCCGTCCTCTTTAATGGCTGCACAGGCATCATGGCCGGGGCCAATATGTCAGGTGAGAGTCCCTGCCTGCGCCTCCTGGGGGTGGGCTGCCGCCCAGAGGGTGTAGGGGGATGGTGAGTGGGCTGACCTCTCTCTGCTTCCCTCCCTGCAGGGGAACTGAAGGACCCCAGCCGGGCAATTCCTCTGGGGACAATCATTGCCGTGGCCTACACTTTCTTCATCTACATCCTGCTTTTCTTTCTCTCCAGCTTCACTTGTGACAGGTGCCTGGGGTGGGGGCTGAGCTAGGCCCTTGAGGGGTGGGTGAGACACTGCAGTGGGCTGGTGCCCTTGGGTCACCTCGAAAAGGGCAGGCTAGGGGGGCAGGTATTTGTGTTGTTGTGGAGGAGGGGCAAGGGGAAAGTTTCTCCCTTTGGGAAAGAGATAGAGCTGCCGCCGCCCCTGGGGAGTGCTGGCTACATGGTGATAGCCAAGTTGTAGCCAACAGCTGCCACATACCTGGTTCAGTTGTGAGCCCTTAGTTTGAGGGGTGGGCTGGGGCTGGCTTTTGCTGATAAATATCTGTGCAAGTATCTGGCTTCTGCATGCACGGTTGGGAACGACCACTGGGTAATGAAGTATGAGGCCGACCAGCAATGATCAATGACTACCAAGTACATTCCTTGGCATATTTAAGGTACAGTATCAAGAGGGGTGCACTCTGGTAGCTGGACGCAGGAGGATGACAAGTTTAAACAACCTGGACGACTTAGCAACTTTGCAAGACCGTGTCTCAGAATTTAAACAAAAACCATAGGTAGGGCTGGGGATATAGCTTAGTGTGAGGCCCAGGGTTCAAACCCCAGCATAGCTGAAAAGAAAGATGTGGGGTCTCTCTGATCTTTGAGATGAGGGCTGAGATCAGTTGCAAGGACCCAGCTTTTAACCACACAGTGTCCAGAGCATTTTTTTCTCACCAGGACCCTTGATGGATACTCGTGGGCGGATGGATTGATACCCATATCCTCCTACCCCTCTCCCCCCCAGGACCCTGCTACAGGAGGACTACGGGTTCTTTCGCGCCATCAGCCTGTGGCCCCCTCTGGTGCTGATTGGCATCTACGCCACGTCGCTGTCGGCCTCCATGAGCTCACTCATCGGTGCTTCCCGCATCCTGCATGCCCTGGCCCAGGATGACCTCTTTGGTGCGTTTTCCTCCGGCTCCTCCTGGCTCTGAGCACACCTGCCCGGTCTGTCTGAGTCCCTGCTTGGCTCGGGCTAATGGGACAGCTGTGACTGTGTTTTTACAGGAGTGATCTTGGCCCCAGCCAAGGTCATATCCAGAGGAGGAAACCCCTGGGGGGCTGTCTTGTATTCTTGGGGACTCGTGCAGGTAAGCCTTCCCTTTGAGCTGCCCTGCCTTCATCCTCTAGCTCCCAGGAGAGGATCAACTTAGGTATGGGTGAGGCCTGTATGGAAAGGTGGAAACATTGGCATGTCACTGGAACCCATTAGCATTTCTTGGGGGTTCATTGGCACTTCTTGGGGTACATGTACTGGCATTTCATGGGGATACGTTGGTACTTTTGGGGTGCTCTGGCACTCTGACTAATGCCCCACTTCTTGGTCCCTGCCCAGCTGGTGCTCCTGGCGGGGAAGCTGAACACACTGGCCGCCATCGTCACAGTCTTCTACCTGGTGGCTTATGCTGCAGTGGATCTGTCCTGCCTCAGCCTGGAGTGGGCCTCAGCCCCCAACTTCCGGTGAGACACTCACATGCCCAGGTCCCCAGGGCAGAGGAGGAAGGAGAAGGAAAGATGAGCCCAGGAGGGTGGGCTGGGGTGAGGCGGCCAGGGCCGACCTGAGTTCCCTTCCTGCCCCTTCTCCACCGCCAGCCCCACCTTCAGCCTGTTCTCCTGGCACACTTGCCTGCTGGGCGTGGCTTCCTGCCTGCTCATGATGTTCCTTATCAGCCCCGGGGCCGCCGGGGGCTCCCTGCTCCTCATGGGCCTGCTTTCTGCCCTGCTCACAGCTCGAGGAGGCCCCAGCAGCTGGGGCTACGTCAGCCAGGCCTTGCTCTTCCACCAGGTTGGGGGGAGCTTTTGGGAAGGGCGGATGAGGGGCCGTCTGGGAAAGTCCCCCACCCACACGAACACTCCCACCCCACCACCTCATCCTGGTTCCCAGGTGCGCAAGTACCTGCTCCGGCTGGATGTCCGGAAGGACCACGTGAAGTTCTGGCGGCCTCAGCTGCTGCTCCTGGTAGGGAACCCCCGGGGCGCCCTGCCTCTGCTGCGCTTGGCCAACCAGCTCAAGAAGGGGGGGCTGTATGTGCTGGGCCACGTCACCCTGGGAGACCTTGGTGAGTTCCGTCCCACTTGTTCCCACCCTTCCCAGTCTCCTCCATCTAGACACAGCTTCTTTTTTTTTTTTTTTTTTTTTTTTTTTTTTTTTGTCTTTTTGAGACAGGGTCTCGCTATGTGGTTCAGGCTGGCCTTGAGCTCACTTTGTAGCCCAGGCTGGTCTTGAACTCGCAATGATCCGCCTGCCTCAGCCTCCCAAGTGCTGGGATTACAGGCGTGCGCCACCACGCCCGGCCCTAGACATAGCTTCTGCTTCTGAGAGGACACTAGCCAGCCGAAGCCCCCTGCCCAGACCCCTGTGGGGTCTGGACTCTAGGAAGGAGTAAGTGAGCTTGGCCCACAGTGGCCACATTCTTTCTGTGCCTTCTCTGCAGACACACTGCCCTCGGATCCTGTGCAGCCGCAGTACGGGGCGTGGCTGAGCCTGGTGGACCGGGCCCAAGTGAAGGCCTTCGTGGACCTCACACTGTCCCCCTCTGTGCGCCAGGGGGCACAGCATCTGCTGCGGATCTCGGGTCTTGGTAAGCTGCTGCTTCTTCCTTTGGGGTACTCCTTGGCCCCTTTAAATCTCTACTCCCTTCCCTTAGAGAATAAGCCACAGATAGCAAACTACAAAAAGAGCTGACAATATAGTACAGATAAGACAGGGCTCACAGATAACAGCCACAGAAAGCATGTGATAAGGTCTATAGAGATGGAGAAGACTTGGAGTGACCCGTGGTTTTTTTTTTTCTTTTCTTTTTTTTTTTTTCCCTCTGAACCAAAAACTGGAGGACTGGCCTTGAGAATCTATTTCTAGGACAATGGGAGAATTATTTGCATCTTGGACTGCCCCATCAAAGCGCATGGTTTCTCACCACCAGTTTAGAAAAAGCAAGACCACTAGGCACTGATGTGGCCAGCAAAGGTTTTGTGGAGAGATGGTAACTCAGCCAGGTCTGTGAGAATTTGTGCCATGGGAGGGACCTAACATGGTCACTGACACCGCAAAAGGTGCTGGAGGTCGTGTGAGGTTGACACTTTCTTTTGTCTGTTTTTGTGGTACTGGGGATTGAATTCAGGGCCTTTGCACTGAGCTACATTCTCAGCCCTTTTAATTTTTTTTTTTTTTTTTGAGAAAGGGTCTTGCTAAGTCACTAAGAAGCCCAGGTTGGGCTTGGAGGTGGGATCCTCCTGTCTCAGCCATCCAGAGCGGTGGGATTACAGATCTGTGCCACTCGCTGCTGTGGAGCTGACACCTTTGGATGGGTTGGGACATTTCAAGCTTTGTGACTGTCAGCACTGGAGCCTCCAGCCTTGTGCCCCAGGCCCCACCAAGTCCACGCTTAGCCGCCTAGTCCTTCCTTAGTCCCAGGACAGTGTCTGTCACCTGAGTGCTCACCCCCTCCTCCACTTAGAGTCTGGCTAAAGTTCAACAGCACTGGACATTACTCTGCTTAGTGTGCGTCTGAGCCCTGCACAAGGTTTGGAGCAGGTAGGACTTGTTTAATTTGCGAGACCAGCTGGAATTCTGACCCGCTGGTAGGTGGGGGAGCATTATTGAGTTTGATCAGCCCCTGGGACATCTGAGGACCTGGTCTTTCCAAGTCCCTCCCAACCCCTTGTGCACAAAGACCACTGTGTTCAGGAAATGTATCCTTTTTTTTTGTTTTGGTTTTGGTGTTTTTCCAGTATCGGGAATCAAACTCATGACCTTGCGCTTGCCAGGCAGGCGCTGTGCCACTGAGCTAAATCCCCAGCCCCCAGGAAATGTATCCTATGGATAGTGGTAATAGCAAAAGGGAAAGCATTTTCTCCACACAGTAAATTCTGAGGCAGGTAGGATTTGAACTATACTTAGATATTGAGCAGTCGGTTTCATAAGAGGCCTCTGAGTCTCACTGTAAACTCAGCTTCATTGAAAGAAGGGAGGAATTAGGGGCTGGGGATTTAGCTCAGCGGCAAAAGCACTTGCCTGGCAAGCACAAGGTCGTGAGTTCGGTTCCCGGTACCGGAGAAAAACCAAAAAAAAAAAAAAAAAAAAGAAGGGAGGAATTACCTGATTCTACATTGATGATGCTTTTTCTTTTCTTTTTTTTTTTTTTTTCTCTCCTTTCCCCGCCCCCCCCCCCCCCTCCTTTTTTCTTCTTTTTTTTTTTTTTTTTTTTTTTTTTTTCTCTCCTTGTATTGGGGATTGAACCCAGGACCTAAAATTTTTGAGACAGGATCTTGCTGAGTTGCTCAGGCTGAGCTTGAATTTGCAGTCCTCCTGCCTCAGCCTCTGAGAGTGCTGGGATGATGTGTGTGCCAATACAGGGCTCACACTGGTGGTTCAAAATTTAAAAATCACAGCTGTGCATGGTGGCACATGCCTGTAATCCCAGCACTCAGGAGGCTAAGGCAGGACTGTTGCGAGTTCGAGGCCAGCCTGGGCTACAAAGTGAGCTCAGGGTCAGCCTGAATTACTATAGTGAGACCCTGTCTCAAAAAGACAAAAAATAAAATAAAATAAAATAAAAATAAAAATCACTTTGGGCATGGTGGTGCATACCTGTGATCCCAGTACTCGGGAGGCTGAAGCAGGCTGTGAGTTCAAGGCCAACCTGAACATAGCGAGATCCTGCCTCAAAAAACAAAAAACAAAACAAAAAAAAATCAGAAGTTGTGGTCAGGGATTTGGGATGTTGAGGTTGGTCCACACCCAGTTCAGTGGCCAAGAGGATGTCCTCTGGCGTGGGTAGACTGTGCTCTCTTCTGGTAGGACCTATCAGCCTCCAGGCTTTGGGCCAGTAACCTCACTGCGTGGGGCCTCAGGTTCCTTATCTGTAAAAGAGGAAGATAAACAGCATCTATCTCACAGCGTTGCTTCATGGTTCATAAGAGGTGAAATACAAAGTGTTGTCTACAGGGTGTGGCAAGCATGGGGATACTCACTGTCCCCTCTTAGGGACCTGGCTGAGGACCTGAGGCAGAGCAGTAGAAACAGACTGTTTTCTCTCCTCCCCTAGAGGGGTCTGGGTTACTGTTTTTCCCTCATGGTTGAACTTGTAAGTTTGAGTGTTTTGCCTGGCAGAATTAAACTCGTATTTCCCATCATGGAATAGGTGTGCTAACTGGGCACAATGGGTTATCTCAGCACTCTGGGAGGCTGAGGCAGGGACATCTCAAGTTGGACCTAGCCTGGGCAACTTAGCGACCTGGTGAGGAAAAAATAAAAAAAAAAACAACAGCAGAAGTAGCTCAGTGGGAAGGCCCTGGGTTTAATCCCCAGTACTGCAAAAAATAATACAGAACAGTGCTACTTCACCCGCTCTCCACACATTGCAATTGCTCATTATTTAAAAGAATCATAAGATGAACTTAGCCTAGTTAAGTGAGAGAGATGCATCATGGAGATAATCAAATAAACGCCTGTGAAAGTGTTAGGACAACAAAGTCCTGCAAACATGATGACACCATTCGTGCCCCCCAGCGCAGTGGGGCTGTCATTCCTTACAGCTGACACCCGTCGCAGGGAGCTCCAGCGAGTGCGAGTGGGCGGGAATCAGCATCCCCTAAACGCACCCTGGCTCCTGTCTCTGCCCGCAGGTGGCATGAAGCCCAACACATTGGTCCTGGGTTTCTACGATGATGCCCCGCCGCAGGACCATTTCCTGACAGATGCAGCTTTCATGGAGCCTGAGGAGGGCCCCCAGGAGGGGGCGTCCCCAGCTCTGAGCACCCTGTTCCCCCCACCCAGAGCTCCTGGGAGCCCCCGGGCACTCAGTCCCCAGGACTACGTGGCCACTGTGGCAGATGCCCTCAAGATGAACAAGAATGTGGTTCTGGCCCGGGCCTGCGGGGCTCTGCCTCCTGAGCGGCTGAGCCGGGGTTCTGGAAGCGCCTCGCAGCTGCATCACGTGGACGTGTGGCCCCTCAACCTGCTGCGGCCCCGGGGTGGGCCTGGCTACGTGGATGTCTGTGGTCTCTTCTTGCTGCAGATGGCAACCATCTTAGGCATGGTGCCTGCCTGGCACAGCGCCCGGCTACGAATCTTCCTCTGCTTGGGGCCTCGAGAGGCGCCCGGGGCCGCTGAAGGGCGGTTTCGGGCACTGTTGAGCCAACTGAGGATCCGGGCTGAGGTGCAGGAGGTGGTGTGGGGTGAGGGCGCTGGAGCTGGGGAGCAGGAGGAGGAGGAGGAGGAGGGGGACTTTGTGAACGGAGGGCGGGGTGATGCCGAGGCTGAGGCCCTGGCCTGCAGCGCCAACGTCCTAGTGCGGGCACAGCAGGGCCGAGGCACTGGGGGAGGACCCGGGGGGCCCGAGGGTAGGGATAGTGGCGAGGGGCCCACCACGGCCCTTACCTTCCTCTACCTGCCCCGGCCGCCCGCCGATCCTGCCCGCTACCCCCGCTACCTGGCGCTACTGGAGACTCTGAGTCGGGACCTGGGCCCCACACTACTCGTTCATGGTGTCACCCCCGTCACCTGCACTGACCTCTGAGGTTCCTTCTACCATGGATGGGTAGAGAGGGCTCAGGCTCATCCTGGTTAATGGACCATCCGCCCCCATTGGCCCTGCCCTTGCGATGCAGAGCTGAGAGGACTTTGTAAGGGGACCCTTGGTGGGGGCATTGCCCTGTGTTCTTTGGGAGAGGGGCCCAGGGCACTCATTGGGCTCTGTCCCCGCTGCCCTTAGAGGATGTGTGGAAACCCTTCCCCCACTGGCCTCTTGCTTCACTGGTGCCTTGACGGGAGGGGCTGGTCTCCTCTACGACTCCAGGCTACCTCAGTGTCCCCATCTTTGCCACAGATGCACCGGCACCTCCCCCTGGGAGGAGTGATGGTTTTGTTTTGTTTTATTTTTCTAACTCTGCTGACCGTGAATAAAAGACCAAAACACTACAATCTGGCTTGAGTACTGCTGGCGGGTGGGTAGGTGAGAAGGAGGCGGGCGGCAGGGAGAGGCCTGCATGGGGGTGGGGACCAGGAGTCTGGCAGGGAGGCTGCCACGTGCAGAGTTGGGGCGCCAGGCCTTGGGAGATCCTGGGACCTGGAGGCTGACGGGGCCTGTGCCTCCCGCCCGAGCGGCCCTCAAGCCCCTGAGACTGCTCCTGGGGAGAGCCCTCCCTTGCCCACCAGGAGGGGGCCGACTCTGGGAGGGCTCTGGGACGGCAGATTAGGGCCTAGGGGGCCACGTGACCCTCCCCCAGGAATGCGGTGACGTCACAAGGGGCGTGGCTGTCCCCAAAATTGGGGAGGAAGGGAAAAAAAGCTAGAGAAAGTTTCTTTCCTGGAGTCCCAAACGAGGTCTGGGACGGGAAGGGGGTGGGTCAAAGACACAGGACCAGGAGTTTGTGGGGCCCTGACTGCTGTTTGGAGTTACCCCATTCCAGGCCATGTCGGGACCCACCTGGCTCCCCCCGAAGCAGCCAGAGCTCTCCAGAGCCCCTCAGGGGAGAGCACTCTCCAGAGGTGCCCCAGGGCCACCACCAGCCCACGGAACAGGTAAGTAGCCCCCTATCCCATTGGCCAACGAACCAGCTCTAGGGCCGTTCACCTCTGTCCTCTACCTCCTGCCCCGGCCGGCCTGCTTCCTACTGCCCCTTCCCCACGCTGGCTGGGGTCACCGCATGAGTGCCCCCACCCTGGCGCCCCACTCCCTGGTTCCCAGGTGTACGGGAGGAGGGGAGTGGCAGAAAGGGTGGCTCTAAGAGGGTGTCCCTTCTCCATCTCCACCTTGGTCTCTATTTTCACCTCAGCACTCCAGCCCCATCCCAGAGCCAGTTTTTGCCCCCTCCCATCTGAGCAGTGTTACCAGCCCTCTGGGGGACCAGAGGATCGGGGGCCAGCCTGGGTGGGGTCCCATGGACCACCCCAGCGTTCGCAGGTGAGACGTGAGAGCTGGGGTTGGGGATGGGATATGGGGCGGCCTAGAGCCGAAGGGGTGCAGGGCTCGGGGCTGGAGAGGAGACATTGTGATCTGCATGCTCCCTGCTTTGATTCCTTCTCCAGGGGCTCACTCCAGAGCGGGGGTGCCTGCGCCCAGCAAGTCTGGATGCTGAGATAGATTCGCTGACCAGCATGCTGGCTGAGCTGGATGGGGGTCGTGGCCATGCGCCGCAGCGACCAGACCGACAGGTGACAGCCTGTCCTGTGTCTCTTACCCGGTCCTACTCTGTATTCTCAGTCCGTCCCACCCTGCCCATCTCCACTTGTGTTCTGTGTGAGGGGTGTCCACACCAGCATTGGGAATGGGAGCTTAGTGGAGGGCAGGACCTTGCCCAAATCCAGCACTTCCCTGGGGCCCGTACGTGGCATGGACTTGTGCAAACCTGGGTGCCGAAGTGGGCCCTGCTCACTGCCTCTGTGCTTCTCTTCCCAGGCTTATGAGCCCCCTCAGCTACCTGCCTATTGCTCAGGCTCCCTGAAGCCTAATGGAGGAGGGGGTGTTCCAGCCCCGCTGCTCCCAGCGTCCCCCTATGGGGGCCCCACTCCAGCCTCCTATGCTACTGCCAGCACCCCAGCTGGCCCTGCCTTCCCTGTGCAAGTGAAGGTGGCCCAGCCAGTAAGAGGCTGTGGGCCGCCTAGGCGGGGGGCCTTTCAGGCCTCAGGGCCTCTCCCAGGCCCCCACTTTCCTCTCCCAGGCCGAGGTGAAGTCTGGGGGCCTGGCTATAGGAGCTCCCGTGAGCCAGGACCAGCGGGTAAAGAAGAGGCAGCAGGGGTCCCTAGCCCTGGAAGAGGCAGAGGAGGCGGGCATGGACCCCAGGTAAGTTTGGGGTCTTCAGACAAGCCGGCACTGATGAGGTGGGGTGGGTGCTGGAGGGGGTTTTTAAGCTCTTGGTGTGGAGCATGGTTGGAGTCAAGGTTGTCCAGAGGGGAGGGGCTAGAGCTGCCCACTGGCTCTTGGGCTGAGATGATCTCAGATGAGCTTTCTGGGTGGAACTGCCTGGTACTTTTGAGGACGGGTAAAGCATTTGGAGTTAGATAGAAGCAACACCGAACTCCCATGATTCCCACCTGCAGGTTCCCCTGAGCCAGCCTCCGGAGGAAGAACTGGAGAGACTGACTAAGAAGTTGGTGCACGACATGAACCACCCGCCCAGCGGGGAGTACTTTGGTGAGATGACTCCGTGGGTGAGAATGGGGAGGAACAGCAGGTCTGGTGTCCCGGGTCTGTGTAGATCAATGTCATCCACCCCCTGTGTCCAGGCCGATGTGGTGGCTGTGGAGAAGATGTGGTCGGGGATGGGGCTGGTGTTGTGGCCCTCGACCGTGTCTTCCATGTTGGCTGCTTCGTGTGTTCCACCTGCCAGGCCCAGCTCCGGGGCCAGCACTTCTATGCTGTGGAGAGGAGGGCATATTGCGAGAGCTGCTATGTGGTGAGTGGCTGAGGTCGGCGGGGTGGGGTGGGGCTGGAATCACCACTGGGACACACAGGGCTCCCATGGGGGACCTGCTATTGAAACCCAAAAGAGGGATGGGGCTTGAAGCTGGGGACTCAGACTGATGTGCAAGTGAGGAAGGAATGAAGTGGCTAGGTACTGGCTGTTTAGGGGAAAGACAACAGTTTAAGTGGCGGCTTTTTTTTTTTTTTCTACTGGGAATCAAACTCAGGACCTTGCACTTGCCAGGCAGGTGCTGTGTTGCTGAGCTATATTCCTGGCCCAAGTGGAAGGCTTTTTAAGAGTAAAGGGAATGTGTGAAATTTCCACAAAAATCCCGTGAGGCAGAGATTATTACTGATTCATTTTATAGGATGTGGACGCTCAGGTTAAATTCCTTGTCTAGGAAGCTATAGTGCTGAGCCTCAGATCTGCTCAAGTCTGCTTTCCACTGAATCCTAGGCAGAGGCTTCATACATGCATGGCTGGGTTGGCAGCTGGCTTCCTTGCTGCTGTGGCTTCCCCCTGACCTTCTTGCCCTCTTTTCCAATAGGCCACCCTGGAGAAATGCTCCACGTGCTCCCAACCCATCTTGGACCGGATCCTGCGGGCTATGGGGAAGGCCTACCACCCTAGCTGCTTCACCTGCGTGGTGTGCCACCGTGGCCTGGATGGCATCCCCTTCACTGTGGATGCCACCAGCCAGATCCACTGCATTGAGGACTTCCACAGGTCAGGCCTGGGGCCTGGCTGTTTCAGGATGTCTGACCTCTTTCTCTGGCCCCTCCTGTGTTTAAATCCCTGGCCCTTTGTCTCTTTCTGATACCACTGTTTTCCCCAAGACCCAAGGGCATACCTTGGTACCTCCTGTGGTCTCCTGCATCCTACTTCTCTGGGCTGCAAGCCTGGGCCCTGACAGCTGCCTTGGTTCTCTTCCACCCCAGGAAGTTTGCCCCACGATGCTCAGTGTGTGGTGGAGCCATCATGCCTGAGCCAGGTCAGGAGGAGACAGTGAGAATTGTTGCTCTGGATCGCAGTTTTCACATTGGCTGTTACAAGTGTGAGGTGAGGGGGCGTGGGAAAGAGCAAGGGGTTCCAGGGCCTAGGGTACTGGGCAGGGCATCAAGGCAAAGAGACCCAGGGGCCTGAGTTGATGGAAAGCTGTTCTTCCTGCCAACAGGAATGCGGGCTGCTGCTATCCTCAGAGGGGGAATGTCAGGGCTGCTACCCACTGGATGGACACATCTTGTGCAAGGCCTGCAGTGCCTGGCGCATTCAAGAGCTCTCAGCCACTGTCACCACTGACTGCTGAGTCTTCTTACAAGCATCTGCTGCGATCTTAGTCCCCATCCATCACCTTCCCTGACATCTGCCTTTACAACTTTGTCACCAAATGCTGTTTTTTCTGCCTCCACTCATGAAATAATAATCTCTCAAGAGTTTACAAAACACTTTCAAGTCTGTGGTCTCACAGCAGCCCAATACAAGCATGACTGTTGTCACTGCAGAGCTGAGATGTGTTTT